TATATATATATATATATATATATATATATATATATATATATATATATATATATATATATATATATATATATATATATATAAAATAAAAAATAAATAAATAAATAATAGATTCAAATAAAATAATAAATAATGAATAATAAAATATAACAAAATAATAAATATTTAAATAAAATAACAATAAATTAATAAATAAATATATTTAAATAAAATATTAAATGGTAAGTGATAAATAAATAATGAAAAATATATATATATATATATATATATATATATATAATATATATATATATATATATATATATATATATATATATAAAACTATAATAAATCAATAAATAAATAATAAATATATCTAAATAAAATATTACATGATAAATAATAAATAAATGATAAAAATAAATAAATAAATAAATAAATAAACATATAAATACATTTAAAAAAAAAAAATAATAATAAATACATTAATATATTTGAATAAATAAATAAACTAATAAATTAATAACTAAATAATTAATTAAAATGTTTTACATTAAACAAAAATTTGAAAAGGATTATCATTGTTTGGAGGCCTCAGCATTATCACAAACACGAAAAAATTTGCCTTAGACGTTTTATCTATATTTGAATGAAAAATATCTGTTCTAGCATGGGAATGTGAGAGAACAGAGAGACTTGCCTGGTCATTGGTGGGCTCTAAGACGAGAACACTAATGGCATCGTTTTTGGCCTCCTCTGTTTTGCCCAGCCTGTTAAAAGTTTTGGCTCGATTCTCATAATACTGAACTACACCAGGGTTGTACTTTATTGCAACAGAAAACCTTTCTGCTGCTTCCTGGAACTTCCTGCAACAAATCACATTCACGACATGACATCAATAAAGATGAGATGAAGAATGTCGCATTTTACCATAACGTTTAATCCTACTTGTCTTCGTAGCTTTGCAGACCCAGTGTGTTGTGAATAACAGCAAGTCGTAGCCAGATAGCTGTGTTTTCCAGGTCCAACTCCTCAGCTTGCTGATAGTCAGCCAGAGCAAAGGTCCATTCACACTGCTTAAAAAAACTATCTGAGAGGAAAAAATAATAATTATATATATACTATATGTATATTAACCCCCGTGAATTATTGGCCCTCCTGTTTATTTTTTTCCCCAACTTCTGTTTAACGGAGAGAAGATTTTTTCAAAACATTTTTAATCATAATAGTTTCAATAACTCATTTCTAATAACTAATTTATTTTATCTTTGCCATATTGACGGTAAATAATATATTACTAGATATTTTTCAAGACACTTCTATACATCTTAAAGTGACATTTAAAGGCTTAACTAGGTTAACTAGGTTAACTAGGCAGGTTAGGCAAGTCATCGTATAATGATGCTTTGTTCTGTAGACTATTCAAAGAAAATTTAGCTTAAAGGGGGTAAGAATTTCATCCTTAAAATATTGTTTAAAAAATGTAAACAATTCTAGCCGAAATCAAAACAAAATAAGACTTTCTCCAGAAGAAAAAATATTTTCAGACATACTGTGAAAATTTCCTGAACCTGATAAACATTATTTAGGAAATATCTAAAAAATAAAATAAAATTTATAGGGGGGCTAATAATTCTGACTTCAACTGTATATACATTCATTCATTTTCTTGTCGGCTTAGTCCCTTTATTAATCCGGGGTCGCCACAGCGGAATGAACCACCAACTTATGCAGCAAGTTTTTATGCAGCCCATGCCCTTCCAGCCGCAATCCATCTCTGGGAAACTATGGGGGAAAACGGAGCACCTGGAGGAAACCTACGCGAACGCAGGGAGAACATGCAAACTCCACACAGAAACACCAACTGAGCCGAGGCTCGAACCAGCTACCTTCTTGCTGTGACGTGACAGCACTACCTACTGTGCCACTGCTTCGCCCTCATATATATATAAACTAAATTGGCCATAGTGTATGTGTAGATGATGTTTCCCAAAACTGGGTTGCAGCTGGAAAGGCATCTGCTGTATAAAACCTATCCTGGATAAGTTGGCGGTTCATTCCGCTGTGGCGACCCCTGATGAATAAAGGGACTATAAGCCGAAGAAAAATGAATGAATAAATAAATGAATGAATGTTTGCATAAATATTTTGAGAAATCTGAACTTATTAGGTTTAATGACTGAAGCCTTTTGTAATAAAAAAAAACTGATTAGTTCTGTCACTCTCAGCCCAAACCGCATGAAACTTTTTCTTTCTCTTATCTTCCATACCTCCTCTGTTGATGAACAGTTCACTTGCATCTCTTTGTTTCTCTATGGCCTTGTTCAGCAGTATGACAGCTTCACTGTACAGACCCTGGGAGAAGCACTGAATGGCAAAATCATTGTACGTGAGCACCATTTGTGTCCGTGCTTCTTCCTCTAAACCATCAGAGTCATCTTGGGGCTTTCCCTGAGGAGATTCTTCTTCAATCCCACAAAACTCAACAGCAAGAACCAAGTCCTCAATGGCAGCTGTGAAGTCTTTTAGGCGCCGATACAGAATTCCCCTAATAGCAGGCAGGAAATATGCAGTTTACAACCATTTATATACTTTTATGTCTTCTTCATAATTTTTAGGTTGCAATAATTAAATAAAACTAAATTAGGGGGTGGCTCGGTGGCTCAGTGTTTAGCACTGTTGCCTCACAGCAAGAAGGTCGCCGGTTTGAGTCCCGGCTCGACCAGTAAGCATTTCTGTGTGGATTTTGCATGTCCTCCAGGTGAAATAACATGTTGCTAATGCTCGAACAAATTAGCAATTTTTATAAATTTGAATGTCATTAGCAAGAAGCAACACATTAATAACATGTTTTTAATATGTATTTAGCATGTTTCCAGCATTTTTCTAAAAGAGCTAACGTGACATTTCATTACCATGAAATAATGTTGCCAACGCTTCACAAATTAGCAATTTTTTATAAGTTAAGGCAGCATAAAGTAGCACATTGATAAGCTGTTTCTAATATGTATTTAGCATGTTTCCAGCATGTTTTTAAAATGGTTAACATGAATTTTTATTAGCATGAAATAACATGTTGCTAATTCTCGAATGAATAAGCCATTTTTGTAAGTTTTAATGTTTTTAGCATGAAGAAACACATTGATAACATGTTTCCAATATGTATTTAGCATGTTTCCAGCATGTTTCTAAAAGGGCTAACGTGACATTTCCTTAGCATGAAATAACATTGTTAACGCTTTACAAATTAGCAATTTTTCAGAAACTGTATTGTTTTTAGCACGAGGTAGCACATTGATAACATGCTTCTAATATGTATTTAGCATGTTTCCAGCATGTTTCTAAAATGGCAAACATTAAATTTCATTAGCATGAAATAGCATGTTGCTAATGCTTGCTTTTCATAAATTAGACCTTTTCTTCCATTGCTTGTTACTTTGATTGTTAATTTGTAATATCTAATCATCAGTCAGAAAAGATTTAGCATAGGCCTACTAAACACTCTGAATCATGTATCATGAAGCTGGAATAACTGACTAGCTAGTTAAGTTTCACTTTGCTTTGCCCCAACCTTGGGTTTTAGGTAGCATGAAGGCAGCTCGACTTTAATCACTCTTTGTTGCCATGGTATTAAGGAGCAGCTACACTACCTGCAGGGTACCTAAAACCCAGTATTGGTGCAAACTTAACTGAAGCTTAACTGGCTAGCCAGCTAATTTTGGCTTTACCCCTGACCGGATTTTTGTGTTTGTAGCTTGAGTCTCAGAATACAACAAAGCTTAAAAAGAATCAGTACTAAGAAGCCTATAATAAAGCAAATTCATAGCCCCTACTTCTGTTTAGCATGAATATATTTCTTAATATACAGATAAGCAAATTCTTCAGCAGGCTGTGACAACACTGCAGCTTTACCTGAATAGGTAGTACTGTGCTTTATTTGGGATGAACTCCATAGCACTGTTTATTTTGCCCAGTGCCTCTGAAAGCTCTCCCTTTAATGCCTTATCAACAGCTGCCTGATGGGACTCTTCCGCTGCTTCCTTTAGTCTCCCTAATAGTGCAAGCGCCTCTGGACAGCACGGTTTCATGCTGAGTGCCGACTTCAAGTCATGACAGCACAGGGTCATCTGAGGAGACACACAGCCCATTTACCTGTTTATTGCGGTCATTTGAGGGCAATGTTTTTTTCCCGAAGGATGTAACCGATGGTCTGACCTGATTGAGCTGATGGTGAAGGCGAGCTCTCAGAGTGAAGAGATCTGCTGAAAGGCCATCCGTCTCCAGCCAGTTATTGACCAGTCGAAGACAGTCAAAGTAACGACCCAGGGCGCTCAGACAAGCTAAGCTATGAATATACATACAACAAGGCAAAGATTTTGGAAAAATTGTAATCTCATGCCAAAAACAGTGTTTTGAACACACTTGAAAATTTCTGCAATGCATTAGATTTAAAATATCTTAACATAAAAAAGCTACAGTAAATGAGAATCCCTAGACATTTTTAGCCATTTTTTGATTACTTTTAATAATTTCATATGGTTGAGGGGCATTTTGACCCTGTTTTTTTAACAGTTTTTCTGCAATCAGACTTTCCAGTCAAATTTGCTAAATGAATGTGGTAATGGGTTGGTTAGTAATGCAAAATCTGTTATTTAGTGTCCATTTGTCTATAGTTTAAGCATTAAAATTATATTTCTTAAACACAAATATTACTTTAATATTTTGGTAGATGTTGCAGATAATTTTGATATTTTAAAATGTGTCCATGAATAATAATTTACCCAAAAATGTACATTTTGTCACATTTGCTTCCCTTATTTAAAACCTATTTGGGTTTCTTTCTTCTGTTAAGACACAAAAGAAGTCATTTTGAAGAATGCTGGTAGATGGAACCCGTTGACTTCTACATTATTTATAGTATTATATTAGTATTTTCCCAATTTAATGGGTGCCAGAAACCAGCATATCTTCTTTTGTGTGCAACTGAAAAAAAGAAGCTTAAAAAAGTTTAAAACAACTTGAGGGAAAATATATTTATCCCTTTAAATGGGCAAATCCATTTTGGGCCATCTTTTATCAATAATATCTTTAAACAGATATAAATAAAAAATTATTAGAATAAAACACCTTATAAACATGATGAAGATATAAAAAAAAAAACATTATCTGGTTTGTAAACAGACAAACCAGATAATAATCAGGTAAAGAAAGAGTTTGCAGCGCCGCCTAGTGTTATACTATTGCCTATTAGCATGATGTCAGTTTAGTTCAGACCATAGACTGCAGGTTCAGACAGATTTCAAAGTCTTTAACATGCACTTAAATACTAACTTAAATCTATACTGACCTTCTCATACGATAAGGTTGAAAGTCGGGTTTGAGTTCTGCAGCTTTTGTGAAGGACTCTAAAGCCTCCAGAAAGTTGCCTAGATCAAAAAGACACTGGCCCTTTAGGAAAGAAAAGAATAAATGGGAATTAAACATTAATTTTACTTTTATTTTTGTAACGGCTGCATACACAATCATTCAAAAATGCACTGATGAATAGATACATCTGTAGATGAGATCAAAACCAAGAAGAATAAATATCATAAATAAAGTGCAAAAAAAGCTCAAATTAGAGCATGTTTTCATCAGTGCCATATTTCCAAAAACATACCCATTTAAAAGTCTCTTAAATATTACAATATCTTGATTGAACGCCATATGGATCACAAGGTTTTCCACTATAATTATAATTAATCTTCTAAATTCACATGATTATCTTACATCTAACAAGAAAACAAAATGCACAATGAGTACAAAACATAGCATGAAGACACAGTATAAATCACCACATCGTCTTTGATGCACCTTTATCGATATGTGAATCTAAATCTTTATACAAAACAAAGAGTAAAATTATATATAATGAGTAGGCCCACACGGAATCTACGCGTGCAGAATTCCGCAGATTTTCCGCAGAATTCCGCAGATTTTTGCAGATTTTTAGCCTATCATTAATTCTGTATATTTACTTGAGTAAGTGTGTATATCTGAATTTATTCCGTTTTTATTTAGTAATTTATTACTTTTTATTTAATATATTAAGGTCTAAGTTGTGATACTCCGCTGGATACTGCCAAAATAATTCCTCAGAAATCCGTAGATTTTTACCAAAATTCTCAGCAGAAATAGCAAAAAACATCCGCAGTTTCCGTCTGGCCCTAATAATATAATATAATATAATATAATATAATATAATATAATATAATATAATATAATATAATATAATATAATATAATATAACATAAAATAATATAATATAAAATTAAATTAAATTAAATTAAATAATATAATATAATATAATATAATATAATATAATATAATATAATATAATATAATATAATATAATATAATATAATATAATATAATATAATATAGTATAATATAAAATTTTCCCAGAGATGTGTTGCGGCTGGAAGGGCATCCGCTATGTTAAAACGTGCTGGATAAGTTGGCAGTTATAATTCCGCTATGGCGACCCTGGATGAATAAAGGCACTTAGCAGAAAAGAAAATGAATAATATAATATAATATAATATAATATAATATAATATAATATAATATAATATAATATAATATAATATAATATAATATAATATAATATAATATAATATGGTTTCTCACATCTGTTAATAAATGAGTTTGTGTACCTGTAGGTAGTGTATGAAGGCGAGTCGTTGATGGTAGGCCTCAGTTTGTGGTTCTAGTCTTCTGGCGTGTTTGTAGTCCAGTGCTGCAGACTGAAAGTCACACAGTTGAAGATATGCTTCTGCCCGCTGGACATAAAATTGAGTCTGTGGGTAATGGGAATGTAAAATGTGATTAATATTCAGTGGAAGATACCATAAATAGGGATTACTGTATTGATTGCATAATAGAGTAAGGTTTTTACCTTATGTGGCTGGAGCACTATGGCCTTTGAGAAACAGGACACGGCCTTATCAAACTGAGAATGTGCCATGGAAATAATACCTGTTTCATAACTAGACATACATATAAGCGTATGTAAATATTATTCTTATTTATAAGAATATATAAGCAAGAATCGTTTATGTTTATAAGCATTTTTCACTTACTGTTTTTCAGCCTTTTCTTTTATAATGAGCTCCCCATCCAATTCTGGTTTCTTTTTTAGTACTGGGGTCTGAAAAACATATTTCTAAAATGTTTATATATATTCATTTTCAATGAAGAAGATTCCCTGTAGTTCTTGATTGAATAAGACATGACTAGGAAGATTGCCCCTCTTGAAACCCAATAGTTTCATTATACTAATGATGAGTAGTAATAATTATTTTGTCTTTTTGGTCGATATTTAAAAACAACACAATACTTTTTACTACAAATAACATGGTTAAACCATAGTGGTCTATGTGTGGTTACCATAATTTGTAATGCTAATAAATAAACATGTAAAAAAAAACTGCTGTCTATCTGACTTTTCGTTCTCATACACACACACACACACACACACACACACACACGTTAGTATTGGTGGTTAACAGGGACTTTCCATAGGTGTCTATATTGTACATTAAAAACACTTTAGTTTAGGTCATAATTCATGCTATTTACTTCTGGCTTACTACCTGTTGATTATTAATAGACTGACTGTTCATTAGTAGTCATAAACTGATCTTTTTCAGCATTCCTAATTCTACCCAATACATAAACCCAACTTCTAGCTTACTAAATATTAACAAACAGCTAATTAACGTTAGTAGTTTATTAAGCTATAGTGTTAGTTAATGGTTTGTTAATTCTGTGAATTGTGACCCCGAACTAAAATGTTCAAAACCAAAACCGCTTATTACATCACTTATGTTTGTAATCCACCATAATAAAGTACAGCTATGTCATACCAATTTCATTATACAAAAACATTTAACTTACTTCTTAACCAGTACACACACACACACACACACACACACGCTCTCTCTCGTTTAAAAATACAAACCTCGGAACAGTCGACAGTTGGATTCATATTGGCTTAAAGGTTATTTAAATCACTTAGAGGGAATATAAAGGTAAAAGACAGATAACTTTAAAAAAGAAAAGTCCTCATGTGACAAAAAAGTGCCGCCAATAAAAATACTTTTGACTAGAAAACATTTGGTAACCATGGAGACGGTTCACAAGTGACAAAAATCAGGATACATGATATCCAAAAAAACTCAAAGGATATCTTTAAAAATGCTGCTGAGTTCAAAGAGCAAAATAAGTAAAATATTAAATATGTTTAAGAAATTTATTTAGATTTCTTTCATTCAAACGTTTATGAAAGAACAGGGTGAGGCAAAATAAAAGTACACGACTCTTATTTTGAAGTCAAAGGCGGCGGACGGACGTACCTTTATTATTGTCAGCATGCATCAGCTGACAGTAATGACACTAGTTACTGAGTACAGCAGTTTTCCCAGTGAAGACGTAACACAAAGGCTTTGATGCATCATATTTGGCAATTGTAATGTTTGATTTAAAATCATAGTTTGTCCACGGCGACCATCTATGAACAGCGTGGTTATCATTTGTAAGAGGAGGCGCAATGAATGAGTATGAAGAAAACAGACCACTGTTGGTCAATGATGAGCGAACAGAAGAGGATAGATCCGAGCAAGACGCATACCTGGAGTAAGGGTCACTTTATTGTCAATTTTTTAACATTTCCCTGTTTTAGAAACTGGCGTTTAAAGATTCAATATATGAAACTTTACAATTGTTTTTAAAAGACTGACGTGACACTGACGACTGAAGTAATTACTGAAAATTCAACATCACATGAATAAATTACTTTTTAAAGTTCAACGCAAAGCAGTTACATTAAATTTGACAATACTAGTCTTTAATATTAAAGCTTTTGATTAACTGAATGCAGGTTTGCTGAGCAAAAAAAATTATATATATATATATATATATATATATATATATATATATATATATATATATATATATATATATATATATATATATATATATATATATATATATATATATATATATATATATATATATATATATATAG